GAGGAGGAGGAGGAGGAGGACGAGGAGGACGAGGACGTCGACGACAAGCTGGAGGAGGAGGAGAAGCTGGAGGAGGAGGAGGAGGAGGAGGAGGGCTTCAGCGGCCGCCCGGAGTCACCTCCACTCTCGGCTCCCCCGCCCTCGCCGCCCCAAGCCACTCACCCGGCTCACCACCTCCCGCACGCCGCGCTCCTGCGGGCCGCCAGCCTCGCCGCCGCCCGTCACGCCTGGTCCTGGGTGGGCTGGCTCCAGATGGGGGCCCCGGGTACACGGAGGCTGATACTGTTTTGGGGTGGCCGGGGCGCCTGATCGGCTGTGCCAACTGAGTGCGGCAGAGCTTGCAGGGGTCTCCGAGGGCAGCGCCCTCTTGGGCGCACTGAGGCTCGGGAAAGCGGGTGAGTAGGGGGCGCCTAGGCGAGTTTGGAAATCTTTATTGGCAAAGTAGAGCTGGAGTTGTAGTGATGGAGAACAGAGCGCGCTCTAGGCAAGTCAGGTGTCTGTCTGAGACAGTGCTTCCCTGCCCGAAGCAGGCGGGGATATGAGAGTGACAAAGTGTCGTTCCGGAAGGGTCTTGACACTTGCTCCGGATCCCTGGGTTCTGCGGATCGCGCGTCCACTGCGCCCGGTAGAGCTTGGGAAAGGAGGTGAGTAGGGTGCGCCGATACGCGGGGCGTGCGTCCAGCTGGGCGCGCAGGTGTCTTGGCGGGAAGCTGCAGGGCGCGGTGCCCGCAGAGCGGGCGCTCAGGACGTCGGTAGGGCACTAGCGCTGACTCTCAGCTCTGGCTGTGTCGAGTCTGGGGGACTCATCCCGGGGGCGCAGCGCCTGGAGGGGACTTGGAGGCTGCCGTAACGCAGCCGCTGCTCCCCGGCCTCCGCCTCATGACCTCCCTGCAGCCTCGGGCTCCCGCGCGCGGCGCATGCTTTGCATGGGGGAGCTGGCGAAGGAAGGGATCGGAATGGAGAGGAGGACGTGGGATCTTCTCTTGGGATGCTAGAGCGCACTAGGTCCGGCTGTGGGCGCAGGTCACCGCGGTGGCACCGCGCGTTCCTTCGCTCTTGGTCTTTCTCTGGCTCCGGCCTTCCCAAAGTGGCTCGGAGTGGCGGGCTCTGTGCAAGGCAGGAGCCTTTTATAGTGCGTTCTCTCCGCCTCCTACTGGGTTTCCTCCTTCCTCCTCCCCGCGCCAGCCCAGCCCTTCCCTCCCCTGGAGCCCAGCTGCAGTCTAGGCGTTCGCTCCAGTGCATTTCACAAATTTCCAAGCCCACCTCGCTTTCCGGACCCCAGTGCCAGCAGCGTGAATCCTCAGAATGAAATGAAAGAAATAGAACTTTCTTACTGGCCATGCCTGGCTTCTCCCTATCTGCCTCACCCTATTTTTGCGTACTAAAAACTGGTGAAAGATTAGTTCACCTACTTTCCAGCTTCACGCCTTTACTCAGGGCATCTAAGCCAAAAATTACCTAAGTTAAGGCAAATTCTTACGCCATTCCGAAAGTTCCTCGGGTCACCGTGGCATTTTGCAGAATTTAAATAGCTAGGGCTGTTTAAGGTGCGGTATGCTGGCTGGGTTTATTTGTATCAGGCAAAGGAAGGGCTAGCTGTCGCTTTAAAGATGCCTGAAGCATCTTGAAAATTCTAACCAGGCTCAGCATATCATTAATAAATTGGCAACTATTTCTAGAGTGCGTAACACAAAACACACACACCGACTTTTTTTTTTTTTTCCCGCGCAGGGAGATGTTGGAGGAGATAGATGCTTTAGAGTTTTAGGTGGCCTGAACTGTCTAGCTTCTTATTTTGATCTCCAGGCTTTTAAAATGCCAATAATTGACAACTGGGGAGCTGAGGGGGGTGGAATTTGAAACAATACCCTGTCCCTTGTTCAGATGAGAGATCAAAGAGGGGATCCCAGCAGCTTTCAAATCCAGTAAGGATCTTCCCGTGTGTTTTCTAATTAGAATTAAAGGTGGCGGTAAAAACAGCCACGTAGTGGAATATATATATATAAATTAAGATAGCAAAATAGAATCCTGGCGGCTTAAATATGGCTCTGACCTCTGGTTGTGTCGGCTTGTGATGTGGACACAGGAGGACGAATGACTTTCCTATTGCCAGTGGCAGGCTGGTCTAAATCACAATCCAGGGGCTGCTGTGTCCTGCAATTTTTTTTTCACACACAATGCCCACATATAAGCCCTAACTGCCCTCCCTCTCATCTAAAGGTAACATTTTTGATCCTAAGGAAAACCGGCTTTTAAAAAACCCTGCAAGGAAACCCTTGGAATGAATGTAAATTCTTGTAAAATTGTAAAGGGAGATTTGGAGATCAAAGTGCTTGTAAAATGTTGTAAAAATTGTAAATTGAAATTTGGGGGCAGATGTCTTTATTAAATGTTGAAAAATGTATGAATGAATCCCATTAAAGTTGCTTCATGCTGAGCGATCCAAATTCCAGGTGAGTTTATATTCTAGTAAGTGCATATAAGTAGCAATGATAAACTCTGATGCTCTAGGACTAAAGTTGCCAAACAAGACTACCAGCAGTGTTCTGCTGTTGAGGGCTTAGGATTACAAGTTTTGTGAAGACAGAATTACAAATTTAATAGCTTAAAGAAATTAAATTTCAAACACTTTTATGAAATCATGCCAGTAGTTGATGAAAGTTTAAAAAAATCCTACCTCCTTCAGAATTCCCAATGGCTCTGCATTAATGCCTTTATTATGGATCTTACTACACTTTTGCAGAATGTATCTGTATGTCTTTCTTCCCACCACACCTGGATCAGGGTTACCTTTGGGGTAGAACATTTGGAACCCTACTCTTCTTCCAGGACAGTTTTCTTCTTCCTGTGTTCATAGCTAGGGAACACTTTCCAGCCACATTTGGGTCTATGTGTGTTACAGTTTAGATCTAAAACATCCCCCCCCCACCCAAAATTAAGAGATGAGTGAGGCAGGAAGGGCCTGGTTATCAGGGGTATGACTTTGAAGGATGTACAGTATTCTCGTCCCTGGCTCCTCCCTTCTCTCTGCTTCCTGGTCTCTAGGCCAAGAAGAGTTTTCTTCTGCAATGCTATTCTGCCATGCTGTTTCTGCATTACAGCTGGCCGACCATGGACTGAATCTATTGAAACTGTGAGCCAAAATAAACCTCTCCCCCTTTAAATTGTGGTCTTGGGTATTGTGTCCCAGTGATAGGAAAACTATTACAATGTGGGACTATAGGGTTGTGCTATTTCAGGTCTGGCTTTAAGACATCTTAAGTTATTAGCTGTATGCATCTGTCTTCCCTTTCTACTGCTCAAATGAGAGCTATTGGACCTTGTGTATGTGAGAAATACTCTTTTTTCATTCAAAGACACTGGGGTTTGAGATGTTTGCTTAGCAACTGGTTTTGCCCACTCCGAGAAGTACATATCAGGGACATGTGCCACATTATCCTTAGGTTTCCAGAGCTGAGCCCTGTGCTTTACAAAAAGAAGTTGCTCAGTTTTTTAAAAAAATGTATGTAATAAATTTGGTGTTTTGCAAACCCTAAATAGTAAAGTAATAAAGTAGCTCTCCTTAGAGTTCCTTCTATAGGTGTCTGACATATGAATATTATTAGCTCTTCTGTCTCTTGCACTGTACTCTCATAAATTTTGTCTTTATTATATAAGTATCAGTTATATTACAGCCCAGCTTATTTGACTAGAATATTTGGAGAAAGTTAGAGAAATTAACCACAAACCAAAACACCTAATTATTATCACTGAAGAGATTGTAGTCTCCTTATGGCCCCTTATATCCAGGATTTTATTGTTTTTACTTCAAATTTTACTAAAGACTAGCTCAAGACGGCAAAAATAAGGAGGAAATAGAGCAAATCTTCGCATACCCATAACCTAGCTTCAATAAAACTCATGGCCAATCTTGTCTTCTGTATAGTAGTCCCTCTAATTTGTGCTTTTGCTTTCTGTGGTTTCAGGTTTTGTGGGGCTGACTGTGGTATGAGAATATTAAATAGAAAATTCCAGAAATAAATAATTAATAAATTTTAAATTATCTGCCATTCTGAGTAGCATAAAATCATTCTCAGGATGTCTTAAGTAGGGAGTAGCAAGAAGGTAAGATAGATGGGGCAATGAAAACCTAAAACTTAAGCCACATTATTTTTTTTGACATTCCACTACATTCTGTCCAGGATGCTGATGCTATCCATACTACTTGCCCTTAGTCACTTAGTGGTCTTCAGATTGGCTGGCATGGAATTGTAGTGCTTGTGTTAAGTAATCCTTTCATAGTAGCCTAACACTATGTCACAGTGCTTATATCATTGACCTGACTTCATCAGGCAGGCATTGTAAAACCTTGCATCATCACAAAAGGGCTGAGTGTGGTACAAGAAAAGGTTGGGAGAGAGAGAGAGAGAGAGTATTGTTATGGTTGTTCTATTGTTGTTTACCTCTGACTGCACTTGATTTATAAACTAAACTTCATTATAAGAATGTATGTATAGGAAAAATATGG